GTGAACGAGAGGAGGAGACAGCACACAGCAGTCATATAAAAAAAGAGCCTGCCCCCTACATCACATGGGAGAGGCTGCCCCCTACATCACATGGGAGAGGCTGCCCCCTACATCACATGGGAGAGGCTGCTTTCGGGTTGATTCAGCTATGATTTCACATTAACAGCATTTATATTAAGATACAATGTTAACGCGATAAGCCAAAGAGCCTATATACTTATAGACACAGCCCATGGACACACACAATAGGTTAGTGAAGACCTGGAGGAGGGGGGAAGGGGGGAACTGGGAGATACTGTAATATATTAACAATAAGAAATACATTATAAAAAGAAAAAAGAAATAAATCGTTGAAAAAATTAAAAACCATAATTTTATATTATATTCATGGAAATGTGAAACAGTGCAATTTATAGTAAATTTTAATTATTCTTAGAGTAGAAGATCATAATGAGGGCCGAATAAGTAATTACCAGGGTTTCGTTTTATTTGTGGCACCTTATCCTGTTCACATTAGCCTCTGTTGTGTTGAAGAGAAACATGTAGCTATTGATTTTAACTGTTAATTTTTCGCTATTGAAAGACCTTGTCCTAGCTGGTTTGGCTCAGTGGATAGAGCATCAGCCTGTGGACCAAAGGGTCCTGGGTTCCATTCCGGTCAAGGGTATGTACCTGGGTTGCGGGCTCCTCCCCGGCCTGGGCCCTGGTCAGGGCTCGAGCAGGAGGCAACCAGTCGATGTGTTTCTCTCACATCCATGTTTCTCTCTGTCTCTCCCTCTCTCTTCCACTCTCCCTAAAATCAATGGAAAAATATCCTCGGGCGCGGATTAACAAATAATAATAATAAAATGCAGCCCCAGTAGAGAACCAGTCACTGCTCCATTCCTGACAAGTGTAGTACGGATATTCCTGATTTCCCAATCGTTAAGGGATCGTCTTAAAACCCTCTTTGGCATCATGTCACCTTTTCCAATTCGGGGAGGGTCATGAAGTGAGCCAATCCTTGACATTTTAAAGGGGTGTAAATGGACCATTCTCATCTCAGAATTATTGATGGAGAAAGATCACGAGCAAGTGTGCAGGCACGCGTGTGTGAGGAACTCAGGCACCGCTTCCCAGGGAACTCGAGGAAGGTCTTTTAGCTGCACAAACAGGTAGTATTTCTTGCACTACCCTCTAACTAATGCCAGACAAACTAGTGGTGGTTAAACCGGCCTTTAACTAGTCGTACTTGCCTACCTGAGCCTGCGCCCTGGGCATCTCAGATCCGTTTATTTGAGGGATGTTTTATTATGCCTGCCACAGTCCTGTACTTTTGTGTTGCCTTGAATAAAATTATCTCTAATTCTTTGTCAGTTACATAATGTGGACTTGGACCCGAGGGTAGAGTTTAAGAGCATCATGCCATTTAGAAAATTACAAACATCTCAATTACCTGAGCCTCCGCCAGCCGTGACACGTGGTGAATTGAACAATGTAATGGGTATTTTGTAATTCTCTAAAATGATTTTATAAAATTGTCATGATCAAATTAGGGACTAAAGAAAGCGAACCCGTCCCCAGTATATGCTACAATCCAATCACTTGCTTTCATCTGAATGAACAGAGACCAAATCAAGCAGCACTTTCACGAGATGAACTGGAGCGGATTTGTGACTCAGTGGGTTGAAGTTTAAACCCTTTCTAGTAAAGAGATCCGTGAAAGAGAGTGTTCAGGTTTTATAATGAAACACCAACTCGGGGACATGATGTCTTACATAGTCAATAGCGGTTCTGATAATGAATCAAACAGAATGGAAAGAGTCCACCCCCCCCCCCCCCCGGCCCGGTTCTCTCTAAATCCCCAAGTCCAAGAGCAAATGTTCACATGTAAATGTGCTCTGGAGAGCTTAGACAAGTGCATTTCTTACACAGAAAAGTGTTCTCTAAATTTGCATTTAAAAAGGTTTCCAGCTGGGCCGGCGTGGCTCAGTGGTTGAGCGTCAACCTAAGAACCAGGAGGTCGCTGGTTTGATTCCTGGTCAAGAGCACATGCCCAGGCTCCATCCCCAGTAGGGGGCGTGCAGGAGGCAGCCGATCAATGATTCTCTCTCACCATGGATGTTTCTATCCCGTCTCCCTTTCTCTCTGAAATCAATACAAACATATTTGATTTAAAATTCAGCGTGGCCCTAGCTGGTGTGCTCAGTGGATAGAGCGTCGGCCTGGGGACTGAAGGGTCCGAGGTTTGATTCTGGTCAAGGACACATGCCCTGGTTGTGGGCTCGATCCCCAGTAGGGGGCGTGCAGGAGGCAGCCAATCCTTGGTTCTCTCTCATCATGGATGTTTCTATCTCTCTCCCTCTCCCTTCCGCTCTGAAATCAATAAAAATATATATATATATTTTAAAGTCAGCATGACATAGGGTTTTTTTTTTTCTGTCGTTCCTGGAACAAGGCATGTCAAGCTTTCCTCTCGACCACCTTTTACTGACTCTGGCCCTTTGCATGGACCGCCTGGGCCCGGGCAGTGTTGCGGCACCAGAGAAGGGTGTGGGAGCAGGGAGCAGGGAGCCGGGCGCAGGGCCCAGCGTGCGTCGCCTGTCTGTCGCCATCATCGCTCACATCTTGAAACTCGCCATCTCCACTGCCTCGGGGCACGGCTGAAGCCCCGACCCGAAAGAGAACTGCACTGCTCTGCTTGGATTCCTGGCTAAAGCGTTCACTCTCCCGGCTTTTCGGGAATTAGCTCCATTATTGTTATTCCGCCCAGGAGGCCGTCCTGGTTGGAAGTCTAGTCTGCTGAGGTCACTCCGCTCAGGCTTCGGCTGCGTGAAAGTGCTGCAAACGCTAGAACTCTGACTCCCAGGGCGCGTTCACTCCCAGGCCCTTATGTGGAATTCAGTTTTGTGAAAACTGCAATGACCTTGTCACCACAAGAGCAAATGGTGGCAAGGGAGTTTACTCAGCAGCAAACCTTCTGCGCAACAAGCCCCCACTGTCGTCCACTTCCACGTCACACCCCCCTGCAGTGCCACACGCACATGTGCGGCGAGTGCAGCTGCTCCCACGGGCTTTGAGGGTTATGCATGCTTTGCAAACACAAGACTTCAAGCATCTGAGAAGCAATGGCGCATGAATCCTGAGTACAGAGCATAAATCCTGGGTTCAACTGCCAGCTTGTCGGCTGAGTGACCTAGGACCGTGGTCGGCAAACCGCGGCTCGCGAGCCACATGCGGCTCTTTGGCCCCTTGACTGTGGCTCTTCCACAAAATACCACGTGCGGGCGCGCACCTATAGTGCGATTGAAACTTCTTGGCCCATGTGCAGAACTAGGTAATTTGCGGGCTCGGCCTCATGGAGCGGGTCAATAGGTCTATAAGATTTGGTTATGGGCAGGCCCCAGGGCCTCGGGACGGGTTCGCAGGTCACTAAATGGGTGCGGTGGCCATCGGACCCCTTCTCCTAATGGGCACCTTATGCCCTTGGGGGTAGCACGCGCACACGCATTAGCGTGTAGAACACCCAGATTATAAAAGACCATCACCAACACGACGAACAACCGGCAAATCACGATTATCATGGCAGTCTACCTGGTCAATACTCGCAACCGTGAAGGTACATACATTATCCAGAAGAACCCGGGGGGGTCCCACGCCCTACGCGATGGATCCCCAGCCACCCGTTTTC